AATTATAGGTAATTCTTTACATTAGTTGACATTGGAATTGAGACATGAAGTTTAGTCAGGTAGGTAGTACTGACCAAGTAGAATCGTGTGGTAGCATTAATTCCGTGCGGAAACCAATGTAGCTTGAGATACAGGCTCCTAAAGTTATTTAATCGGAGGAAATTTCGATTGGTACGGCCCTGGCTGCAGCCCTTCGTCAGCTGTTCTCGCCAAATATGCATTGATGACGTCAGTGTTTAGTTAGGTAGATGTATGACAGACTCGAGTTTGTTTAATGCCCCTGCCCGCCGAAGGCGGGCTGATACATTAGAATAATGTTAGGTAGATATGTTTTAGGACAAACGATGTTTGGCGGGAACAGCTGACGGAAGGCTGAAGCCAGGGCCGTACCTACCGGTATTTCCTCCGATTAAGAAAACTTTAAGGGCCTGTATCTCACTCACATTCATTTTTAAACAAATAATAAACAAAATTCTAGTAAATACTACTACACTACTTCACTTGGTGAGTACTACTTACCTGACTAAACTTCATGTCTCAATTCCAATGTCAACTAATGTAAAGAATTACCAAATTATATTATATTAACAATAACTGCAGCACTCAGAATTTATAGTAACTTCACTACAGAAAAAATTGAAAAATACTGTATTAAAATAGTAAAAGATGATCATGTTTCCGCCCGGGATCGAACCGGGGACCTTCCGCGTGTTAGGCGGATGTGATAACCACTACACCACGGAAACACATACTCCATGTAGCTCACGATTACATTCTTAAGAGAAAAATAGAATATTTCAGTACGCTAGAATTACAACTGTATTTATTTTACTTGTACAGCAATTGTGTATATGAAGAATTATACAATGTAATATTAACAAAAACAAATTTTTAAAGGGCTATGTAATTTTTCTTCTGGAATTTAAAGAATTTAGTAAAAATTTATTATAAATATTAAAAGTTAGTTTATAAAATAATAAATAAATTCATAAATAGAAACAGGGAAAGAGGAACAGCGATTTATCCTTATAATAATTATATCTAGAATTTCAAATTTCCAATATGGTAAATATATGAATAGGTATTTTAATCGTAAACATTAATAATGGCGACATTTTTACCAAAAATTGGTACTCGATCATTAACTTATAATGTAAAGCATTTATTTTAACAGGAAACATTAAGAAATGTAGTCATCTACAAAAACTGATACTAAATATTCAAAATTTCTATATAGAAAGTTAATTTCAAATGTCAGAAAGAAAATAAATCAATTAACAAACGATGCGCTTAGAAAAATATGGAGTATTCATTTCCGTTAAAGTGTCCCTCAAAGATAACTGTTGAAGTATGACTCTCAATAAAATCTTTTCACTGTTAGAGCAAGTTTGAACTTTGCACATTTTTATACGTGTTATAAAACTAGGTCAGTACTTGTTGTAAAGTTGACAACTAAGTTCTTAGTTTATATTATGAGTAGATTATGGAGGAAGGATAGTTTGAGACAAAAAGTTCTTAAGTACCCTAGAAACTTTTTTCTTGATAAATTGTTTTTCATAGTTTGTTCTTAAAGTGAAGTTCATTTTTGTTAGTATGTTACGTCTTACTCTCATCCCTTAACTGAGGATGACATTTTGGGTGCCGAAATGTTTTTCAGATTTCCAAATGATCTATGATTATGATCTATCTATAATTGTGGATTATAGTATTTCGTACAATCCGTGTTTTTCAATGTACTATTGATGATAGCATGTATGAACATACATCAATGTTCTTCGAGCAAGATGGAATTGACTCAATTGGTTTCTTTAGAGTTTAGAATCCTTTTGAAGGGATAGAGTGGCCATATAAACTTTTGGTTTTACATTTCCGTTCAGAAGAGAAAGCCTATTAAAACTCACACACTCATGGACATAGAAGAGTTTTGAAAAAGACATTTCGTATTACTTTTGCTGAAATTTTCGTTATGGTTTGGGTGAAAGGGTCGAAATGAAGTCAGAGGTATGATATATATAGTTATACTTCTAGCTATCTTCTCCTGCCTAGCCTTCATCTAAACAGTACGTTATCATCTTCCTAACCAATGTGGAAACAATACGTTGGGATCTTCTTCCCTTACGTAACCTTTGTTGAGGCTGGACGTCGTTACCTTCTTCTTGGCCAACATCGAGAGAAGACGTTGGGATTTACTGCTTCTGTCTAGCATTCATCGAGACAGTTCGTTATCTCCTGCCTGACTTCGTCCAGACGAGACATTGTGATCTTCTTTTCCTGCCCAGCATTCTTTGAGCCAGGACATCGTTATATTCTTCCTGGTCATAGTCGAGACAAGACGTTGAGATCTTCTTCTCCTGTCTAGCTTTCATAGAAGCAGTTCATTATCTCCTTCCTGACCATTATAGAGACGAAACATTGGGATCTTCTTCTCCTGCTCAGCATTCATTGAGCCAGGACGTCGTTATCTTTTTCCTGGTCATATTCGAGACAAGACATCGGGATCTTCTTCTGCTGCCTAGTCTTCATCGAGGCAGGATATCAACAACTTCCCAACCAACGTCGAAATAAGGCATTGGGATCTTCTCTTGTCTAGCCTTCGTGGAGGCAGGACGTCGTTAGCTTCTTTCTGGACAGCGTCGGAATAAACGTTGAGATCTCCTTCTCTTGCCTAGCCTTATCGAGGCAGGACGTCAACTTCTTCCAGACCATCGTCGAGACGAGACATTGCGATCTTCTTGTCCTGCCCAGCTTTCTTTGAGCCAGAACGTCGTTATCTTCTTCCTGGTCATAGTCGAGACAAGACGTTGGGATCTTCTTCTCCTGTCTAGCTTTCATCGAAGCAGTTCGTTATCTCCTTCCGGATCAGTATCGAGACGAAACATTGGTATCTTCTTCTCCTGCTCAGCATTCATTGAGCCAGGACGTCGCTATCTTTTTCCTGGTCATAGTCGAGACAAGACATCGGTATCTTCTTCTCCTGCCTAGTCTTCATCGAGACAAGATGTCAACCTTCCCAACTTCCCAACCAACGTCGAAACAAGACGTTGGGATCTTCTCCTGTCTAGCCTTCGTCGAGGTAGGACGTCGTTAGCTTCTTTCTGGCTAGCGTCAGAATAAACGTTGGGATCTCCTTCTCCTGTCTGGCCTTATCGAGGCAGAACGTCAACTTCTTCCAGACCATCGTCGAAACAAAACGTGGGATCTTCTTCTACTACAAGTCTTCGTGATCCAAGGAAATTACAGATAAATCTAAATCGTGGCAGACGGACCCGGAATGAAACCGGAAACCTCCCGAATACTAAGTAATGGTCTAAACCTCTGAGCGCTATCTCTCGGTACGTAAGAAGAGTTGAATGCAATATATGACCTATTAAGGGATGGCTCGTTATTTGCAAAAGAGGTTCTGGAAGCTTAACTCGTAAATAAAACTTTTTGCTTATTAAAATAATGCAGTCATGAAAAAAAAATTTAAGGTAAACTGTGCTATAAGATATAAAAAATGTGANAGCAACCGTAATTTAGGGATCTATTTAAAATTCTGTCTCACTTCAAGTAAATATTTGAGTTATGCAGAGTAAACAAGTAATGTAATAAATTTCTGCATGTCGTCTGTCTCATCTATCTCTCTTATGATTTCTAAAGGATGCTCAAGAGGGCCTGCAGCCCTATCTTCCGGCAATATATGACCTATTAAGGGATGGCTCGTTATTTGCAAAAGAGGTTCTGGAAGCTTAACTCGTAAATAAAACTTTTTGCTTATTAAAATAATGCAGTCATGAAAAAAAAATTTAAGGTAAACTGTGCTATAAGATATAAAAAATGTGAGAAATATATCTACAGTTACCCTTCTACAAACGTGTGTAAGATGTGGATATAAATTGTGGCCTTTGGGGATACTCCACCCATGAAACTACCTTGCACGCAACGTCACACCCTTAATGGGAAAATAAAAATAGGTATGCATCAAATTCTGCTCGCGACACCACGTTTATGAGCGTATGTGTGTTTTAATTATTAAACCACCTCAAAGACAGTGATTTATTTTTAATTAACATTTTCTTGCCGAAAATTGGGTCAAATAAAATGTTTCAGTGGAAGTTCATTTTCTAGAAAGTGCGAATTAACTCCAAAACCTAATACAAAAATTCAGTTGTTAGACCTTTCTATTTGCTAGCTTAGTAAACATTAAATACACATGTAATCCCAAAGGAAACGATATGACGGTGGAATCGTATATTTATTCGAGAATTAACCTAATTATAATAATTAGGATTGAAGAAGAAACCTATACGTGGCATTATTCTCTTTATTAAAAAAATCGGTTGTTTGTAAAGTCGGTTTACTGACGATAGTTGAACGTGACAACGTCATAAGAAAATACTGATGGAATGGTTTCATTTTTCAAAAGAAAATTTTAATTTTATTTGTTTGATAGATATTTTGTATGGATATAGAGAAGGAGGTAAATGGAAATGTATTATTGTATAGCAGCTGTCCACGCGGACGCATCGCTCACTCAAGTAGGAGAGAGACAGATGTCGAACGCTGCCGAACGCGGAGGTCGATTGTGCCTCTTTGTCGCTCATTCCGCGCTCTCGCTTGTACTTCAAGCCTTAAATGGAATGCCTCAGAGCGAGGTAACGCCGCATGAGTCATGCTTTTTCGTGCGTGCAGCCGGCTCCGTCGAATTATAAGACGTTGTCACGTCAAAAAGGATTTTACCATCTGCCTAGCTTCCATACTAATGTATACTCCGTTTTACTGCACATAGAATCACCCTAAACCTCATGTGTGAAAGGTGTCCTGGATCTAACTCTAACCTATCAGTTCCTCCAAAAATGTCCTTTTCAAATTACATAAAATGCATGTGGTTTTCCGGGTATAGACATAAACACTTTTCTATCTCAGGATAGGAAAGAGTGAAGGTGCGCGTCCAACCAATCTCAGGACTGACGACCTCATGATGATGAAAAATATTGATCGCATTAGTTTTGAGATTTTTATGAAAAACAATGTAATTTGTTTTGTCAAAGTCGTCGATAATGCTTCTGAAAACAGTCGGTTCTACATGCCTGAAAACATTCCTTCAAAGATCGAATGTGTTACAAATCCCTATTCAATCAGCAGGACGTGAGTATTCAACAAAAATAAATTAAAATTTACACTTCCTTATAAAAAGACATTTTGTGTAGATTGGTTAAGAGATCATGCTCCTGAACCCAAACCACCCGTAAAAACAGAGGAAATACTTGCTGCCGCAGAAAAATACAATCTTCTGCCTTCTGAGTATAAGACATTCCCGGACGACGGATTTGGTTACGGAGATTACCCAAATTTACCGTTAATGTCATCCGATGCTAAAGACAAGAATTATCCATATGATAATCCGGAACTGAGAAGAAATTTTAATGAACCAGTATGTTATTTAACAAAAAGTTAATCGTTTTCTCTATCATTTCGCGATTTACTTATCGCAAAAAGTGGCCGAAGAAGTACGATTCGCGGTTGAAATTTTGAAGGCCACAATGCAAGCATTCGTATAAATAAGTATAGTACCTACGTTAAAGTGGCAATCAAATTTTTCAGAAATTTTCATTAATTATTAAACAACTACCTGACGTAATAACACCCAAACGAGTCCAGATCGCAGCGTTATTAAACGCAACACATCTGTATTATTCAATCATCGAATATTTATCCTCTATGTGTTTATTTACGTTTACTTATGTCTTTAAGTAAGAAGCCTAGCAATCTTCGGCCTTTGTCCTCGATCAGCAGTCAGATCTGTCGATCGACGATTTTATTTTTTATGAAACAGACTCTGTAAGCACATAGTATTTTTAATACTAACATAACCGAGAGAGATTATATGCAATCTCGATTTGTCGACTTTGACTTTCATGAAATTGGAATACGATTAATTGTTATTTTTGTAGCTTCATGTACTTGCGGATATACTGATTGAGGAAAGATGTAATCGTAACATAAGACTTCGTAAGTCACAATTCGTCTATTTATTAGAGACTCTGGGAGTTTTTGCAACATTATGGACAATTTATATTTATCTAGAAGACAAGAAAAAGTTTCTCCCTTTGTTGCGGAAACAATTTCCTGGAGACGAATGCCAGATACATTACACATTCGAACAAAAGCCGCCAAAGAAAAAAGATGAATGTGAATATTGTACATAACATTCTATCAAACAATATTAAGATTTATCTTCACCAAATTTTAACTCGATTGTTAAAAAATAAACTATGGTTTAATTCTTATATATTTTTGCCTGTCTATTTATTTTTATAAAACTGGAGTAAAACTATAATCAGAACTAGAACTTTCAGAAAGTTCACATTCACATGTCGTCTGTCTCATCTATCTCTCTTATGATTTCTAAAGGATGCTCAAGAGGGCCTGCAGCCCTATCTTCCGGCTTTATGCTAAAGCGTAAGTCGAAGAACCTATCTGCTCACTAGCAATAGTCAATATTCAGTCTTGTCCATCAAAGTTCAATAATGGCAATTTATTCCTATTGAAATGATTATGAATATCGATTGTTAAGATCCTTGATCTCATATTCTTGTTAAAAAGTCGAGTTTCTGGCCTATCGGCTATCGGGTACTTCCCATTAACTCAGAATATTTAAATTAGAGATCAGGAAAGTCTCATAGCACAACTACAAGACAAAATCACTGGGTACTTTATAATGAATTCTATTTTTGCTGTACATGTGTGTTTACCGACATAGGCTCACAAGGACGTTCATTGTGGAAGCACTTGGGAGTAAAACACACATTTTCTGTTGGTTAATAATGGATGACCATGAACAAAAGACCATTACAAAAGACTACACTGAATAACTACATTATCTGTATGAATAAGATAATAAATTTTTTCTAGAAACAGAAATTATAGATGAAACTATGAACTTTTTAGTGTGCTCACTGTGGTAGCTAGTATAATGTCTTATAAATTATTCTTCACCCAAACTTTCTTAACAATTTAAACGAAACCTATTAAGCATATTTGCATTCTGCAATTATTCTATTAATTATTTATGTGTGCTTTAATGATTAAAACAATGGATTTAGAATTCGCCATGGCTACATACTGTTCTGCAATTTAACAATCAAATAAGAATCAGAAATGTAGGAGTTGAGATGAAGTAGCAACTGAATAAAATTTGTGTTAATTTACTCAAAGTTTAATTTAGAAAAGTGCTATTTCAGTTCAATCTAAAGCTAACGAAGACGTCGAGATTATAAAACACTATTTCCAAATGAACAGAGAGGAATTAAGGAACGATACGTTTTCCAAAAATTGACCAAACTAAATTAATTATTTAGTAACGTTTAACCAAAAATGGGGAGGTGTAATTTCTAATGTGAACGTACTTAATATTGTTAGTTCATTTATAAAATAAAAAGAAACTATTATTAACAAAATTACCAGAGTATTATGTTTTTGAATGCACTACAACCGAGTGTAATCACTGAAATGTCAAAGGAGCTGGTTGGATTTTAAGTGAAACATTTATTTTTGATACTTAACAATCAAAATTTCTACAAAGGGTCTAGAACAATGAGAATGGAATTATCATCATCATCAGGTCGTCAGCCCTAAGACTGGTTGGACACGCACCTCCACTCCTCATCCTGAGCTAATTTTTGTATTTCTGCAAAACTGCAACATCCCATACCCTTAACTAATCTCATCTAGGTATACCTCTACTCTTCTTAAATCCTGCTTCTGCTTTTAATATGTCCCTGACTAGCTCTTCATGCCTAAGAAGGTGTTCTACCATTGCTAACATCTACCATTCAGTTGGTAGGTCCATTAATGACCTTCTAAATAAGAAGCAAGTCAGAAGTGAGTCAGGGTGGTGAAGCGGGTGACAGTTTTCACTCATTTTGACGATTTCCTACGTATGAATGCATGTATGTATGAAAACCGCTCTTTACATATCAATAACTATGTATATAGGGTAATCCTTGAAAAGTGAACAGATTGAATAGGTAATAGTCGCATTACAAAATCTCGTTTGTTACTTTTCAACACTTCTTCGTTATCGGATATTAATTGTTAATTAAACGAAGTTATTGTTGTTACAGATTCCATGAAGTGAAGATGAAGAAGTTTTGGTACCAATCTCAGAATGACAATTGCCCTTATTACGCTCGTAGGGCTCTCATGGGCTACATGTATCCAGGTCTGTGATTCCTTATTGCACACCAACAGTTCAGACCATCGAACTGCAGCTTTCATTAACGGTGACTTTATTGTGGGAGCACTGTTTCCCATCCACCACCAACCCCCTTCCGAAATGAAAAGATTGACGTCAAGTATTCGATGTGGGACTGTTAGAGAACAGTATGGAATACAACGGGTCGAGGCAACCTTTCATACAATCGACGAAATCAATAAAAACAGCATACTTCTTCCAAATATGACGCTTGGAGTCGAAATAAGAGACGAATGTTGGTAAGTATTAGGATCTTTTCTTATGAAAAATGTTACGTCTATCCAGGGTTGCTAAAGAAAAGTCAATGTCTACATTCTGTACATGTGACAAACTGCTCAATCTCCGAAAGTAAGATTTGAAGAACGTGATTATTCCTATGTATAACTGATACAAAACAAAAACAGCTGCACGACATCATCGTCATCGTACTACCGACTTTAATTAATAAAAAATCGGTTTCAAGCGTTTTTATATTATTTCTATAGACCCTTTTAAATAGGTTCAAGTTAAGCCTGAACGTATGTACCATTCAAAAGTGAAAAGGTCTAATTTGGGTGATGTGGCTCAATACTACATTACTGCAGTGTGTGTTGAATGCATTTTTCTACATAGCTCCAATGTCGAACGTAATGAGCAAATTTACTTTATAAAACCGTGTATTGGTCCTATCAAAGGCTTTGCAAAACTACTTTAATCAACGAAATAGAGCTGTGCAATTAATTTCTATGATAGCCTAAGCGAGACATTCGCATTTACTTGACAAACCTAATTATATGAGTGACAATATAGTAGTAGGTGGTAAAGGTTGATAATAAACAAATTCATATTTTCGAATTGATTAACTAAAGATCTCAAAATGTTTCACCATTAAAGCAATGAAAAAATGATTTTAAAACAACAAAGTAAGTAAGAAAATGCGAAAATAGGAAACACTATACGCAATTGCTAGAGAAGTTTTTATCAAATAGAAACGATCCTATCGATAAAAAATACCTAATCACTTTAAAAAGCGAGATTTTTTAGGATGAAAAGATTCGCGTGCTTCGTTATTTTACTTTCAGGTTTTTAATTTTATATTCTTGTAGCGTGAAAAAAAAATGATGAAAATTTTCGTCAAGGGAAGTTTCTTATTCCATATCCTACATATATATTTTGTGCACCTCAATTTTCAACGGTTATTTTTACCCTCCTTAAATATGGATGTCAGTGGTAGAGATTTTCGAGGATATGTATTAGATTTATAAGTGAATGAATTTAAAATATGAAATTTATCCAGAGGTGTCATCAACGCACCCTTCTTTCGTTGATGTTGAAATTTCAGTGTTTCTCAGTTCGTTATAACATGGATTGACATTTCCTATCTCCAGTTGTTTGACTTAATGGAAATTCGTCTCAATAAGAGAAGATTTGAAAAGTCATTTGAAAGAATTTATTTTTGATTTTGTCAATGCCGCTTCCACATTATAACTGTAACTCCTCAACCTGTAAGTACCTGTTGATCTTTACATATCCTATACATCATCACTCCTCTATCTCTAAATCTTAACCCTATATTCTTAAGTATTGTTAGCAACTTCTCCCATTTAATATTGTCTATGATGAGGATACCGTGGGTAGAGAAGGTTAGAAATGAAGAGGTATTAGAAGGAATAGGAGAACAGAGGACTCTGTGGAAGTCAATAAGAAATAGACGAGATAGGTTGGTAGGACACCTTCTCAGGATTGAAGGACTAGTTAGAGACATATTAGAGGCAGAAACGGAAGTTAGGCGCGTAGAGGTAGAGCTAGATTAGATTACTGTTCGCAAATGGTTAAGGATATGGGTTGTTCTAGTGTTAGGGAAATGCGAAGATTAGCTCAGAATAGGAAAGAGTGGAGGTGCGTGTGCAACCAATCTTAGGACTGACGACCTTATGACGATGATGATGAAAGCTTTTTCTAAATGTACGAATCCTGTGAAGACGCTACTTATTTTTTCTTTCTTTTTTTCATCTAATATTCGTAAAGTCAATACAACTTCGGGTGCTCTTTCTAAACCCGAGTTGATCATCCCTTATTATTTCACACGTTCCATTTTCAAACGTTTTCTGTACGATGATGATGACCACAATGAAGATACCGTGGATAGAGAAGGTTAGAGATGAGGAGATATTAGAAAGAGTAGGAGAACAAAGTTCACTATGGAAGTAAATAAGAAATAGACCAGATAGGTTGGTAGGACTCGTTCTCAGGCTTGAAGGACTAGTTAGAGACATATTAGAGGCAGAAACGAAAGTTAGGAGGGGTAGAGGTAGAGCTAGATTAGATTACTGTTCGCAAATAGTTAAGGATGTGGGCTGTTCTAGTTTTAGGGAAATACGAAAATTAGCTCAGGATAGGAAAGAGTAGAAGTGCGTGTCCAACCATCTTAGGACTGACGACCTTATGATGATGATGAATTAATTTCCATAAAAGTTCCTTTTAATATAAAAGAATTCCAAAACAGAGTATCCTTTTGTTACATAGTCAAGCCAACTTGAGTTAGATGTCGTTTACTTGTGAAGAGGACCTCCGAATGTTATATTTTTGATTTACCTTTCTAGGTATGCTCCCGTTGCCCTGCAAGAGAGCATAGAACTGATAAAAGACGCCCTGAATCCTTCGGTCTACAATCTCGTTTCGTGCGGGTCGAAAACCGAGAGTGCCGTAAGTTCGGAACGTCGAGGGACTTTGATAGGCGTCATAGGACCTGGCGCTAGTTCCGTAACGCTCCAAGTCCAGAATTTATTGCAGTTATTCCAGATACCGCAGGTCGGTTATTCCAGCACATCCAGCGACTTGTCTGATAAGAGCCGCTTCAGTTTCTTCATGAGAGTCGTGCCCAGCGATTACCACCAGGCTCAGCTTATGCTCGATATCGTGAAATATTATAATTGGTCCTATGTCTCCATCGTCAACACGAACGGTAAGTGAATTTCCACTGTACATTTTAAATCATTGTCTCAAAATCTACGATCTACTCATATAAGTTTGTGTAGATTACAAACAAGACACGATTTTTTTACGTTTAGTGTTTCGCAGCGAAAACGCCCAACGGATTCCTCTACTTCTATCAACGCCGTCTGCTAGTAAAGCATCCAAAGAAAGTAGGATATTCGCGATTTAAAATTTAAAAGTGAAATTGTTTATAAATAAACAAATAACTAATTGGTTTTCATAATATCTCACATTAAATGATACTAAATGCTCACTTTAGCGTGTTACTGATAATTAATTGAACGTAAAAATTGTCCAAATTCTTCAAGTTCTTGGACGAGAGAATGGGTAAGTTGAGGTGGCATATTTTCAACACTTTTTATTGGATTTCCAGTTCTGAGGCCTGTCTCTGGCGTCCCACCGTTTACATTCAATTAATTACCAATTGCACATCAAAGAGTGCATTATCTTGTAGGATTTGGTATCATTTAAAGTGAGACATGATTGTGAGTTACATTGTATTTAACTTGAAAATTTTGTGTGTTAGTGGGCATGACAGTAATAATTTCATTGAATGGTTCAACTGATATCAGTAGATACATGTATTATTAGGTAGCTACATCCATAATTTTGGATTTTATCTGAAAAATTGGCTTCCAACAGGAATTAGCAACCGTAATTTAGGGATCTATTTAAAATTCTGTCTCACTTCAAGTAAATATTTGAGTTATGCAGAGTAAACAAGTAATGTAATAAATTTCTGTTTTGTAAATCCTAAGATAAAAATATGATTGATTATGTTTGAAATTAAATTCCTTGTCTATTATGTAACATAACAATAAAATACCAATTCTCTCACACACACTGCGGTTTCATCAGAAGTTTTAAAAAGGATAATCCTACTTTTTTATAAATACTGCTGAAGGGGGTCAAGATGGAAAAGCGAATGTAGAATTACTTACATCTGTTTCTTCGTTGATGAAATCAATAGTTAGTATTTTTACATTTAATAGTTTCTAAAATTTCAAGTAAAAAATCGTTTTCTTTGGAAGATCATAAAGGCTTTAGAAACAGTTATTAGGCAGAAAGTGCTTAAGGTATAAATTCTTCAGCTAATTTTAAGGGTTACACAGATAATCCATTATATTACCTAAACCTTTTCAGTTCCATTCACCCATGTTTACCTTTGTCTTTGTATCCTTTATATCTTCGTTTTCGGTCCTTTAAGCTTTCTTTGCTTTTATAAGGGTATTAAAATGTTAATCTAATTCTCATATAACCAGACGTTTAGGTAATTGTTTCATGTATTTTTAATACTCCTACATTACATAGGCATTGTTCGCTGTAACGAAATAATAAAAACCGAAAAGAAAGAATTTCATTTCTAATCAGGAAGAGACAAAATTACGAATTCAGTCAGGTTTAAGGAAGAACTGTAATCAGTTGTTAAATAAGCAACTAGGAGTACCAATGAAACAATTTATGGACTGCAGATTACACCATTTACTTTCAATTTACATTTGGTACATCTTATCGTCAAGATGTATTTTTTTTTGTGGTTAATTTGCATCACATTGTTTCAAATCATCAACAGCCATCAAATTTTTTTCAAAGGGATTTAAAAAGGCGATAATTGCCATTTAATTATCAGTTTTCGTGCCGTATAGTTTCATTTCGATTTAATGTAGTAATTCGAACTCTTTCCTTAGATCTGTACATGTTCATTGATAAATAAACTTGATATAGATGCATACATGTGTGCTGTTGCTTTTTCCATTATAATAAGAAACAAAAGCCTCAGGCATATATTCAAAAGTTCAAATTAAAACGGCCGCTTGACGCATTCCAACGATTGTTCCAGTCAGTTGATTTCCAACTTAAAAAAGGAGAAAATACAGACTAGAAACGGTTCTGTTCATTGTTGTGAAAACCACATACCAGAATTCATCAGTTTCACTTCATTTTCATAAAGAAAGAAACATTTTTATTCCATTATCTGTCTTTTTATTTAAATCAATAAATGTTTTACATCAATTTTGAAAAACGATGAAAATCGATTGATATAACCAATAACATTTACTTGCTATAAGCTTATACAAAAATGGCTAACTTTTTTGGCTTCAATGATCCAAATGTTTGCGTTTAATTTTTTATTACAATCTAGGTAGATAAAATTGCTGACCCTTAGTAAAGAGCTTTCAGCTTAATTGGAACAAAAATACAAAAAAAGATTCATCTGGGCTTACAAAATTCATGGAAGCAGCCCTAAGTGGTTCACTGGATAACTGTATTTCAGAAAATCGTAATTATATTTCGTTAGTAATTTTTAATTTCACACAACTACCTCTTGTTAGTCTTTGTTTTTTTACAATGAGCTTGAACATCAATACTTTAGCGCAAACATTAGCTTATTATAAAAATTTGAAATTATGACAGTTAGATTATAAGGTGAAAAAACTAACTGAAGGCGAAACGTCGGAGTTGGTTTTATATCAACAACTTTATTTAAAACCCTATTAAGTTTTTGATCTTTTACATCTTGTACCTACATCAAATTTGGTTAGAAAAGATGCGGGAACAGTTATCCCATAAGTATTTCCCCTGCTATGAACTTTTTTTAAATTAATAATGTTGGTACGCTTCGATTGTACTAAATGAGAAAAACTTTTCCGTGCAATTCTAATAAAAACTTTAACTTTATGATGCACCCAACAGCATAGTTACTAGGTCTGTTCAAAAAGAATCGCGAATTTTGTGTTTTATCAAAAATTATTTATTTTAGTCACGAATATCTATTTTGTCCACTGACCAGATAAAATATACTTGTGCCAACGTTTCTTCCAATCCTCGAAGCACTTCAAAAAATCATTCTTTGTGATCTTGTTCAGCTTTTCCTTCGATGCCGTTTTTATCTTCTCAATTGTAGCGTAGTGTAGTCCTTTCATAGGCCTTTTCAGTTTCGGGAACAAGAAAAAGTCACAGGCGGCCAAATCTGGGAAATACGGTGGCTGCGGCATTATAACATGGTGCAAAAGCTGTTCATTAATCGAAGAAAACTGTAAGAAAAACCTTCACATTCGACGCATTTATCGGTCTTGGCTCGTGCAGCAGCTTCCATTGGGATGATTGAGCTTTGGTGTCAACGTCATAATCCATAAACCCATGATTCGTCACTAGTTATGATCCTCTAGAGCAAATTTGGGTCGTCGCAAACAGAGTCCAACAGCTCCTTAGCAATATTAATGCGATGCTGTTTCTGGTCGAAATTAAGCAATTTTGGTACGAATTTCGCGGCGACCTGTCTCATGCCCAAATCATTGCCAAAAATCGAATGGCAAGGGCCAATCTATATGTTTAAGGTCCTCAGAAACTTCTCTAACGGCGATTCCATGATTGGCCAATTCTATTTTGTTCAGTTCATCAATGTTTTCGTCTGTTGTTGATGTGCTTGGGCATCCAGCACGCTCTTCATTGTTCACATCTTCTTGGTCCTCTGAGAACGTTTTATACCACCGATAAACGTTGCTTCAGTCCAAGGTAGCTTCACCATATGCTACAGTCAACATTCGGAATGCGTCCGCGCACTTAATTTTGTTTTTCCCACAAAATTTGACACAAATTCTTTGATCCATTTTTTGGAATAGGCAAAAATCGAAGACGAGCCAAAGCACGTGCAACCAAAGCAGCTGTCAAAATTTATCTGAACATTCAACATGACTTATAGCGACACTGAGAGACATAAGTACCAACATAACGCCATAAAAAAATCGAAAATCGAATTTACGTAACCCGCGATTCTTTTTGAACAGACCTTGTATATTGAAATACTTAAAGTGTAAAACTCTATTACAGAAAATTATGGGCAATCCGGAATTCAAGCGTTCAGGGAAGTGGCTGAACTGGCAGACGTTTGTATTGCCCAGGAAAATTCAATTTTGAGCGGAGCGACTCATGATGCTTTTGATAAGGTGATCTTAAACCTAAAAAGGGACGACAAAGCTAGAGTTGTTGTCTGCTTTTGCGAAGGACTTACAATAAGGGGACTTTTGATGGCCACTAGACGGTTGAATCTCACTAATCATTTCCTTTTTATTGGAAGGTAAGTGTTTGCATACGTCAGTTACTGCTACCGACGAGAATAAAGAAAAGACTTGAACAACAAAGACGTACATTCGCTCATTTCGTTTTACTGAAGCTCTCAACGTAGTAAACAAGCAATCAATTTGCTAATTTTATAAACTTAGGCAATTGATTGTGTGTCATACGTGACCGATATGTAATTGTGTTGATGATTATAAGTACATAGGATTTCAGATACCTATAACGTTCACTGTAATTTTATCGTTACATTAGGAAAAGGTAAAGAGATACAGACACGTATGTACAGTTTCCACCATTCTTCAAAATTTTCAAATATTACTGAAATTATACTATTTTTCGTGTTGTTATGGGCTTATAATTTAAATATTATGCGTGAATTTTGGAGGTTCTTTATAAAATCTTTCCTCAACCGATTAATTGTGATATTATTTCCAAATGTGGCAACAAGCGAAAGCTTTTTGTCCGTTATCAGTGAATTTGATACATGATTAATGATAATAAGAAACCCCTTACGCATAAGGCACAGGAACTAGAATGGTTTCCAATTTCCTGTCCTGAAGAACGCAATGCGATATTTGCACAGACTGAACTGAGGATATTATTAAATAATATCGTTGATGAGATTGGAATTTGCAAGGCGTGAATAATTGAACTGACATCTTAATAAACATCTGAACACAAGCATTATGCTTATTTAGAGGTGATTTTTTTCTTCACAAAAACGAAATTCCAAAGTGAACGATTTATTTAGAAAGGAAATTGAAAATGTTTACATTTAATATGAACGAGCAATTAAAATTCTATCAATCTGCAACTTATTTCCTTCTAAACTGTCATTTACAGATAGAAGTAAAAATTTAAGTGTCTGTCTGTAATACAGAAATAACTGCTAATTGCATTTGAAATGTCAATTCGGAAAATAAATTACCCCAGCTGTATTTCTTAGCAGTATTTAGAGACTTTATAATGGTTTAGGTAACCTCCCCATTGTTGCTTAGGTACTGATTTGTTCAAAATAGTTAAACAATGACAATATAAAAAGGAGATCTATTAATCCTAATCCTCTGATTTAGAAACAATTTTTTCCTAGCGTACAGGTAATTTTGAGATTCCCTCCTAGAGAGAAACAAGTCAGTCGTATCTTTAGCCAATGGCATACTCAACCTCCTCCTCATTATAGAAAGGGCTTCCTTCAGAAGACAAAACAGTCACAGGGCAACAGCTCCAGAATATGGGGAGTCTGTTCAAGTGTCTCCCAACTCACTCGCTCCAATTTTTCTCTGTATTACACAATGCAATTTCTGCTCAGGTGTCTAAAGGCGAGGAATTCACCTGGTGCATACCTTATTAAAACCTAGCACCTCTGTAATTATGGAGAACGTTCCCATAACTTATACCAACCCCAGATGCATCTACATGCCTTTCACCCTGGAGAAGTTGTTTAGCACGGACGATATTGTCGTTGGTGATGCTCGTGCGAGGTCGCATTTTCCTGATCCTTCACAAATTGTTCAAACACTTTAGTTTGGTTTTATACCTTTCCTGGTAAGAAACTTAATAGACATACGCCGCGCAATTGACAAGAGAATCTCCTGCTCAGACATCTTCACGATGAACGCGCTAGGTCATCACTCATACCTGCTTCTGTCACTGGTGACATCCTCGCTCAGCACCTCATTAGACAACAACCTTAGGCTTATTACTCCTTGTTTATGTTAGATTTACCCAGATAGTGTTAATGGTTTCCTTATTAGTTGTAGGCACTTGCGCCAAAATAATATGCCTAGCGCATTCACCATTATTCACTATATCAAAACTATCTATGGTGAATTGATAACACTGAATAGTAAAATTTCATCGCTACGCTAAAATATCTAATGATAAAATACTGAGAATCAAGCTAAATTCCGCCGTACTTCAAGAACATTTTACTGTTTTTTTCAGCGATGGTTGGGCAGATAGGAATGACGTTACCGAGGGCTACGAGGCTGAAGCATGGGGTAGTATCTCCATACGCATCTACTCCCCTTATGTAAAAGAATTTGACGATTACTATCTGTCTCTAAGACCGAACACAAACACGAGGAATCCCTGGTTTAAGGAGCTTTGGGAAACCCACTTTGGATGTCGTGTGGACGATGACGCAGAACCCAACAAAAGACTCGCCCACTACAAAAGTTCTATTACCGATCCGAACAACAAAATTAACAAAACCCTGCCGCGATGTACAGGTATCGTATCCATATTTTTTATTATATTATTACATTTTCATCATAAGGTCGTCTATCCTGGTTGGACACGCATCTTCACTCTTTCCTGTCCTAAAACTAGAACATCCCACATCCTTAACTATTTGCGAACAGTAATCAACTATAGGTCTACCTCTACTCCTTTTAACTCCTGTTTCTGCCTCTAATATATCTCTGACTAGATCTTCATGCCTGAGAAGGTTTCCTACCAACTTATCTCTCCTATTTTTTATAAACTTCTATTGTTCTCCTGTTCTTCCTAATACTTTCTCATTTATAACCTCTATCCTCGGTATCCTCATCATTCGCCAATCCACAGATCCTGTATGTACTTTTCTAAAGTCTCCACTCCAAAAGTCTCCAGCTTCTGGCCAACGGACGTAACTAATGCCTACTATATCTAATTCTAGCCTATTCCTTTCGACTTTCAAATTCTCTAATTTCTCTACTTGCCTCATGGCTCTAACATTCCACGCTCCGACTCGTGAAATATTGCACCTACCCCTATTTCACTTATTGATGACATCGCCCGAGGTACTCCCCGCCCGGACATCCAAATGGGGGACTAGTTTACATCCGGAGTGCTTTACCCCAGAGGACGTCATTATCATTATGTGGTGGTTTCCCGTTGCCTTCCACATCGCAGTATTGTGCATCAGAATGCCATATCGATCCCCGTCATCTCAGCCACCCTGAGTACTGAAAGAACTGATTCCCTCCTTCAGGGACTTGTCTTAGTCTGATTTCTCTTTAAGACCCCCCCCCCCCATTATGGTTGAACCTATGGTCCGGCTCCTCAAATCATCAAAACTCACAAGCCGATCCATCCACTCTAGTTTGTTATTTTGGAATTCAAGGTGCTCTCTTCCTTCGATACCTTCCTATTAAATTTTAGATGAACTAATCGGAATTAATAACGTCCGCCTACCAGATACAAAAAGTTGAGAACGTGTGGAGAAAGAACAAAATAAAATGAGTCTATGTGAGTTTGTCCTTAATAGGCAACAACTTTCGGAGAAATGAGTTTCGGTTGACTCGTATGGAAGCTTCCTCAAAACTCCGAACACTGCTGCTGAATCATTGTCGAAAAAAATTATTTTCCCCACAATAACTGCGTTTCCATGGGAGTTGAATCATATCATATTGTCCAGTCAGGACTTTGGTACCAATTTATAAGAATACTGTCGTAATGTCTCAACTTGACTCGACTACGATAGAAATTAAATTCAATTGTGGTCTGCTTTTGGTGCTTTCAATAGAGGAAATAGATTTAAAACCTATCGAAATTTCAAACGCAAATAGAAATTAGTGTTTAGAAGACAGAATTTAAAATAGAAAATAATGGAACGTATCTATGCATTTGTATTTCAAACAGAGCTGTTTCAAACAAATCACATCTCGGACTGTTGTCCCCATGGGGCCGAAATGTGACTGGACAAACACACAATCTTCATACGAAGTGACAGAGCGAATTTATTAAAAATTATAACGCATATTCGTGCTACCGTGACAGAGACATCTGGGAGGTTAAAAAAAAAGATTAGGGATCGTGTTTTAAATAAAGGCACTTGTAAAAAATTATCAGATCATCATCATATAAGCACAAAAATACAATCATGACAGCGTCGCGAGACGATAAACACGGTAAATTTTGTAAAAAGTCAAATTAACGTTTAATTCTTTTTAATTAAAGCAATGCTGGGGTTAAAATTATTTTATTTTAAAACCGCTGCCAACGTTTCCCCAGGTTGTTGGTCCTTTTCAAGGTTAGTTTTATTTAGAGAGAGATCAACAATCGTTAACAAACATTACTGAAGATTTTTTGTAAAGATAAAACTCTAACAACTAAATGACATATCAACTGTTTTAAAAACGTTACACGAGGTTGAAAAAATTATTCCACACGTGCGCCAAATTATGCCCACAAAGAAATGTGTTATTTCTATGTTCGGTAAATATTTTACCTTACCTGTATGTTAAATAATGTATGAAACAAATGGGGTTGGCACGTAAAAAAATCCGTCAACCGAATCAACAAAAATTATTTTGATTTCAAAACGAACACCTCTTTGAGACCTTTCATCAACTTGTCGAAATACGTTACTCGCAGATGAACGTTTAGAAACAAAAAACAAAAAAACGGATTTCATTTTCTTTGTTGTGCCTTTGGTCTTTAGCAAGGGAAAAAAAGGGAGAATTTGTATAATGACTTTCAACATATGCATTTACAGAGAACTTTTTTACTAAGTAAACAAACAATTACAACCTTTTAGGTGCTGTTGTAAATGGATATAATGTCAATAATTGTGTAGGTCTTTTTTGATATCTGTTAAATTAAATTATTATAACAAGTGTTTATTTTTTCGTTATTTTTTTGGTAGAATTATCCGGTATCTGTTCGGATCCTAAATAACAGGATTTCGAAAGCAGTATGCATAATGAAACAAAATAAAAAAATAAATAAATGTTCCTATTACGTACCTACCTATAAACACCCGGTATATAACTTAATGTACCTATAAAGGCAGTATCAATAGATTACAGTTGCAAGAAAGTATGTATATTGTGTGGTATCATATATTTCTAGCCATTCGCTTTGTTCAAAACTTTACTCAGAGGACTAATAAATACATGATAACATTTAGTTGTCTTTGATATTCCCAATGGATTGGTTACTTATTAGGAAACTTTCTAAATTTACTTCGACAGCATACGGTTTATCCCTCTTAGTAATGAATCACAAGTTGATGGACAAATAATGTATTATCCACCACCGCAAATGAGTTTTTTTAATTCAACATAGACTACTGTTAATATGAGATACATTGGGAATTCGTTTGTTTTGTTAAATTGACAACAAAATCTAATAATGCAAGGGACTGTCCATAGACCACAAAGCATTATCAGGTAGGGAAGGGTCTGGTAGAGATGGTTTAGATTCTCTTGTACTCCAACCTAACCTAACCTGCCGTATATTGAAGTCTTTTAAATTATACATAATCGCCTTGAGTTAAAGACTTGAATGAAGAGAACTCTGAACTTTTGTTAGGTAAATATTCCTGGATTTGGAGCGTTAATTCAACGTATTAGTAAATTAATTTTAATTAATTAAATAAATACAGAAATATTTACCCGAAAAGGTTCAGAGTTCACTTCATTGAAGTGTTTTGTTGACTCCCGTTGACAAGTACTAGAGAGTAGATTCCAAAAATAAGACCGTGGTACATTTTATGGGGAAGAGGGAGATCGAAAAATAACTCAAATAAAGTCATGTGACTTATAAACGGCCACTAACGATAAGAAGACTACTCATTTCATTTTGGAAATTTGGATAGTTATTTATACAAATGTGTAACCGACTACAAAATAGATTGAACGAGACTTTGTATTGATTTTGAGTAGATACCTACCACTATACCATGTACTTATAACCATTTTGTTCGTCTTGTATATCGTGGCACCTACTTTGAATATCTTTTATTTCGTCGAAAAGTTCTTCGGATTCTTTTGTATGAAAGAAAAAGGAAATGCAATATCCATAAAGGTCGACATTTCGCGAACAAACGATTCAGTAGGAATCATTTTGGGGAAACCTTCAAACGCATTTAGATATTTGGCAAACAGGGTCGAAATACAGTCGACTGCTGCTGATAAATTATTTAGCGGAGCTTTGCAACTTTGGTGTTTTAAAAAAGGCTCTACTTCAACGAAAGAGCGCTCGGATAGAATAGTTACGCAAACAAAAGTTCCCGGCATGACACTATACATATGGTACGTACATACATGGCGGAATGTTTAAGATATGTTGGCATGAAACCTTAGTCTACCTCTAAACTTGTGGGTAAATGTCTTTGTTAGACTTGCCAAATGCCTACTCAAATACCAGAGTTTGTTTAGAAAGTTTCATGTAGGTAAATTTACGACAAAGTATCTACATTTAAAAAGGGATTAACGTACAAATTATAAAAAAGCATCATCTTATATTACATGCTATAATTAAAGTGTGTCCAATAAATGTAAGTTAAAGTTTATGAGGGTGTTAGATTTTCGTCAAAAGATCTTGAGAACAGTTGAAAAATATATTCCAAATGATCACTAAATTATGCATTTTCGTTCATGTGACATAAAAAAAATTCCAACAATGTTTTTTTTTCTCTAATGGTTGAATTATCCAGCACTGCCGAACGACCAGCATCAATATCCTGTATCCGGCCGGATCCTAAATACACCTAGTACGCAGTGATGTTGTGCTAATTTTTTTTTTACCGGAACGCATATATATAATTATATAGACCGGTTCACGTATTTGTTTCGGTTCGGTTCGAGTTCCGGTTCAGCAGAAAAAAAACGTTCCGGACTCCGGTTCACGGTTCGGAAAAACAAGCCGGTTCGTTCCGGTTTTTGTTCCGGTTCGGGTTCGGTTCAAACCCTTGTTTATAATAATACATATAAAAATTAGTCAAAAATTAGAAAAAAAATCAGCAATTCTTTTTAATTTTTTTTTCAACACGTCAGCCAATTCTCGTTATCAGAAATCATCTTTAGTTCCGGAACGCGTTCCTGTCCAAAAAGGAAGTACCGGAACGACGTTCTGGAGCGTTCCGGCTCGACGACAACACCACTGCTAGTACGGATCCAAACTGGGTATCCGAACCATTTATAATGTAATTAAGGGCTAATTCTAATTTTATTAAAAAATTGAATTCATAGAACTATATTACATGTTCATTTTTATATAGTCATCATCATAATCACCATAAACTCATTACCTGAAGATATAAACGAATGTAGGTACCTAAACAACAAAAGATTCTATGTGACTTTTGTTTTAAATCAGGGACGCAATGTTCAACCAAGTGCACAAGAACACAGTAATTTTTTTCATTCTTTTGTTTTGTTTTCTTATTATTTTCAGGAAACGAAACATTGGAGAAGGAATATCGGCAAGATCCGAAACTAAGTTTTGTAATAAAAGCAATCTACACCTTCGCGAACGCTTTGCACAACATGTACATGAATGTGTGTGGTCCTAGTCCCACCCTCGAATGTGGAAAATCCCTAACAATCAACGGTTCAGAATTTAAGGTAAGAACAATTGTTCTGACCAATAGCAATTTATTACCTGTATATGTATAATTCAAATAATAAAAAGGTGTTTTACTCACCTACAGCGTAGCCATCTTGCTGTATTGTGATGTAACAGGGAAGTCCATGGGGTAATATCAGCAGCACTAGAAAATGTTTAAATTAATGTTCATATCAAAAACAGAAGATCCCTAAATGATTAAACTCCGTTTGAAACGATTTTGTTGTTACATTTACTTTTTTATTAGTTATATTTTCCATATTATTGAGCTATCTCAAAGCTAATTTTTAAGAATCAGTAAAGACGTATATGTTAATAGAAAATTATCACTAAATATAACTAAGTTATTGCATAAATAAATAAATAAAAACAGTAGTAGAAATAAAACAATAAACAAATATATAAGGTACGTGATATGACAAACTGACGGTACAATTAAAAGCCAAAATTAGTAAAAATCGGTAAATTATTAATACTGCACTAATACGGATTAGTAAATGTAAGAAATTGATAAGAAACTCCAGTGTTCTTGGATTTGCTAATATTGTATCTTTTACAACGACAGCTGCATATGGGGAGTTTGTACATCAAAGAATCTATTCCTGTGCATCCATTTTTTTGGGAATGGACAGGATGATATTGTTAGATAAGGTTTTGGTTCTGTTAGTAATACAAAATTATGTATGATAACGATTCTAACCTTGCAATAATTTTATGTAATAAGTACATATTTAAACACAGCATATAAAAAAATATCTAACACACAATATCCACACTCGATAGAGGCTTAATATTTTAAGAATGTGAGAATGTGTCTGAAGACGATAGCAACCGCTTTCAAGCAACGAGAAACTGATTCATATCTTACGACTGTTTGGATCTTTGAAGCTGTTAAATCTACTGAGCATGGGGGTAATTTTACGTTTGCGCAAATAAGTTGTTGTTACAGAGTATTTGAAGAGAACTTCAGCTATTTAACAGTAATACATTATTATTATTATTATCTACTTGATACAATGTAGGACGTTCAAGAATGCAGATAATCTTTCGGATATTTTTTTATTATTATCTATCTAAAAGAATGGATCGAGGCTCATAATGTTATGATTATGAAATTAGTTAAAGTGATATTCCAAAAGGATTCTTATCAAGGACACACATACGTCTCAGTGAAATGTTTTTATACATTTCTTATCAGAAGGGAAAGAAATCTGTTATTGATTTGGAAGAATACTATGATGAATTAAAAACAGTTGTATATTTCACTAATTAATTTTTCAGATTTTACCTTATAGACGTTAGCACTACAAACTGTAATATTAACTCTTTGATAGTGGCATTATATCCGAAGTAAAATTTGAAAAACAAATGGATGATTTTGGTTAAATTGCGAAATGTTCTCAGGCCGAATTTGAATCGCTACTCAGTTAAATGTTGCATTAACAGAAACTTTTCACGTTTGTGTTTTTACATGAACCCCAAAGAGGAAATTTAGCTTTACATTTCCAGTAATTTTTTTTTTGTTTAACTGGGAAAATCTCTTTTATGTCTAGTCTCTGCCGATGTGTATTACGTTGAACGGACTTCACTTTGCGATTTAAATTACATACATATACAAAAAAATAATATACTCACTTTGGCCGTTGATTGATCGGGCAAATTAACAGGATTAACAGAACTGTCCACAGGTTCCTTTTTTAAATCTGTCTATTATTTAATAGATTAAATGGCGTTTGTGACAAAATGTTTGAAGTGAAAATTTTTAGTTTGGCTTTATGCTTGACTAGGTCCTTTTACAATTAAAGATATCTATTTGTCAAACTGAATCTACTGAAACAATCAGACGTAAACCTCTTTCGATCCCATCAGCACGCCGTAGAGAGTTAATTAAGAAAACCGACCAAGTTACAGCTACCTTTCTATAACGCTTGCTGAAGAAGTGCAGTCAGCATCGTTAATGCCATCTACAGGAATCAATACTTAATCAAGCTCATAATATATTGAACAGGCTTAAAAAACAAAGAAATTTTCGTACAGAAACATAAAAACGGCGTAGAATAAACCTAATACAGATGTGTAAAAGAACTAGTACCTACTTTTTTACGTAGACTGCTTTACATATAATTTTTGGTGGTTCATTTTCAGTGTTACAATTTTCAGAACTACCTTACAAATGTGTCATTTACATACAAAGACACGCACGTGGAATTTGACGAAAATGGTGACCCTCCGGCTAAGTACGACATATTAAATTTTCAAAAAACAAAAGATGGAAAATACGACTATGTACCGGTTGGTGAATGGTACAATGGTACCCTGACATGGATAGGAGAATTTCAATTTGGACCATACAATCAAACAGTAAAATCGGTTTGTTCTGATCCATGTCCTTTAGGACATGCCAAGGTAATCCACCAAAAGTGTCTTACTTTACTAGAATTAATTTTTATTTACAAAACTCAATAATACATATAAAAATATTCATCGTACAAAGTAGTCTGCCAATACCAGTTACATGTCCATTTTGACAAAAACATTTTCAAAATCTACAAAACACAAACGACGTCGTTGCTTATGTACTAGTGTAATATATTTATATATATGTTACCGAAAATGTATGAAATTTTTGGACTATAATTTTTAACTAATTCGAAAAAGTTTTAATATGGTTCATACATAGTCATTATTGTATTTTTTTCGTAATAAGCTGCATGTAACTGAAGTGGAATAATTTTCAAAACAAAATGTGTTACTTAATTTGCTTTCAAACCGTTTCTCTTTTGAAAACAGCGAGCACAACAAAGTGGGAAGGACAAAAAGTGTTGTTGGGTATGCCAGGAATGTTCCCCAAATGAAATTGTAACTGAAAAAGAAACTTGCGAACTCTGTCCTCAAGGTTCCAAGGCCGATCCTTTACAGAAAAGTAAGGACAAACAGTTTCGTATCTAATTCTGTTTTCGTAGTAGAATATTTATTAGTTCGATATCAGTTTGTGTTCTTCAACAGCAACTGAATTTTGAGTAGGTAGTTGTTGTTCTAATAAGTTTTTAAAACATTTACAAAGTCTGGTCACAGACTTATAATAACATGTAAGAGTACATTTTACGACTACATAAAACAAAAATTCAAAATTTCCTTCACATGGGTACGAGTTTTCACTATTTGAAAACTGGAAAATCCAATAAGTCAACAGTAAATATCAATAATGTCACTAACTCTCCTTAGACCAGGATTCGTCTCATAGATGGCATATATTCTTGCAGCTAATAAACCTCTTTGAAAGAAAAAATAAATAATAAAGAATTTAACTTACCCTATACTCTGAATATTTATAGGTATTAGATTATATTGTGATAATTAATTATTGTTTTAATTGAAACTTTTTGGCATGATATTATTTTTATTCTTGTATTTGAAGGATGCATCGAATTGCTGGAGACATTTGTAACATGGTATGATATGGAGGGTATAGTATCATTGTTCATGGCCAGTTGGGGGTTGATCCTAACAACAGCCACCCTCTCAATTTTCATAAAATACAGGGACACCCCGGTGGTTAAATCATCCACCAAAGAGCTGTCGTATATTATTTTGGTCGGAATGATTATAAGTTACCTTGCAATCCTCCCGATACTCGCAAAACCATCACAAGTAACATGCAGCCTTGGAATTTTCGTACCTGGTGTTAGTTTTGGCATGATATATTCAGCCCTGTTGACCAAAACTAACAGGATTTCGAGAATTTTGGCGGGATCTAAAAAGAAAATTCCCACTAGAAAACCGCTCTTCATGTCAGCTACTGCCCAGGTCATCATTACCGTAATACTTATAATGATAGAGGCCATGGTATGTGGTGCCATTCTTTTGTACGAATCGCCAACGACCACATACCGCTACAAACCCGATCAAAAGATTCTGGAATGCAGTGCAGGAAGATTGGGAGTTCTTGGTCCTCTAATTTTCGACTTCTTCCTCATTTTCATGTGCACCTGTTACGCCGTAAAGACCAGGAACGTGCCAGAGAATTTCAACGAAGCAAAATTTATCGGGTTTGCCATGTACACCACCTGCGTGATATGGCTCTCGTTCATAGCCCTCTATTTTGGAAGTCAGGCCAAAGTGATCACTCACTGTTTGAGTATTGTTTTGAGTTCGATAGTTGCGTGGACGTTCCTTTTTGCTCCGAAACTGTATATCATCATTTTCAGGCCGGAAAAGAACAACAGGGCCTTTTTTACCACGAGTAAGAACATCCGGTGCCATATTGGTTGTAGAGTTTCGTCCGCCATATCGGAAAAGAGTTCTTTGAAAAGTTGGAGGGAAAGTTGTTTCAGTTGCAAAGAAGCCAGGAATGTACCGGAAAAAAGAACGTTGTCATGCCAAACGGGATCGGAGCTTTTGGAAATTTTGCTCAATCCGCTATTTCTAGAGGAACGTAATTCGCTCATTGTCAATTCGACCGGTCCGAGAATTACCGAGAGAGATTGCTGCGATTGCGAACATGATGGCTGCCAAATTAAAAAGATTACAATCAAATTGCCAAATAATTCCGAATATAAAATGTAGACTGTAATTATCTATACGTATAATTGTGATTTTATAGAAAGTCAATTTGGTAGTGACAACAGAGATATCTACCTAATTTGTAACATACACATTTATCCATTTTCGAATTCTGCAGAAGGAATTAAAGATTCATTCCAATTCCGTTTCGTCCCTATTCGAAATGTATGGATTATAATAAGGCAAAATAATCGACCTCAAGGAGTGACTAGCTAGAGGGGATTTTTCGTCCTTAGGAATTTCCTCATAGAAAGTTTGTAGTGGCGTAATGGAGTACCAGTAAGTTGAGAATAAATGAGTTTTTTAATGTGGTCTACAACGCGTATCATATGTTTAACCTTTGATGTAAGTCCGTTATAATCTGTCTATAACGAGACTATTAAAGATGAATGACTACCTACAGTGTAAAGATTCCTTCCTTGTCTAAAAACCCATTGGGACAGGCTGTATAATATTTTCTAGTCAATACATGCCTATTGTTTCCAAAACTAAAGCATTTTTATAATAAAATGAATTTTTGTTGTAAATAATCATGAATAAATAATAAAATGCGACAAATGCGTTTACTTATTTTGAACCACTAATATAACTGATTCAGTTACAAATTCTTCTTCCAATTTTCAATTATACAACCAATCAGTCATTGAACACAGCATTCATGGTAAGTACCTATATACCTTTATTTATTACCATTATTATTTCAAAATCAATCTATACTTACTAATAATATTACAAAGGAGTAATCTTTGGAAATTGCCAAGGTCACCTTTCTCTCCCCTCCCTCGTCCTCACTCCCCTCTCCGACCGATACACAGCTCATGTGTACAATGACTTACCCCATGTTCTACAAAGTCACCCCTACTCCCTCACCGGTTTTCTTCCCCAACCGAGCGATGGTCCCCACATCTCTGGCTATGTTTCGTCTTTTTACTAAAATTTTCTTAGTTTCTAAATCTCTAGTGTTCCTATTAAACCTCTATGTACATTGTAGGATAAGACTGGATTTTGTTAGGGATGTTGTTGTTGTACATAAAGGAATCAATTTGCGAAGAAATAAATACAATAAAAAATTAGTTCAAAATACTTTTATTACTATTGAACCTACAACGTCGATTTAAATATTCTTAAAATATTCTCTCCTCTATTTGATAATAACAGACGCTTTGGTATTGTTGAGATATGTATTTGAGTTCCATTACGAATTCACTTGTTTCTATCACAAACAAAGGTCAATTCAACTTCTACTACAATTCACACGAACCTATAGTGGGATAGTTGTTGTTGTCCACTAATACAGGTAGGTACTATTACACATAAATTAATTTTTATTACAAAAAATCATATCGACAAGCAAAATGTTTAAAAATAAGGTAAAGGTCTAGATGATGGGATCAAAAGAGCGGGGCTCCCCCACCACTGTACCATAAAAAGTTCGTGGCCGTCTCACCCCCATAAAAAGTTATATTTATATAGTCATTGTTAAACAATATTCAAAGGTAAAACTAATGAAAAATACATAAAAATATTGAGAAAGTTATATAAAACCTTATTTAAATAGCTTAATCAATAGGGTAGGTTAGGTTAGGTTATCGGGTTTTGTTCAAGTGACCATCCTCTTTCGATCCCCCACCTCCACACGCTTGAAAATAGTTACTTTATTGAATTTTATTTGAATTATAGTGTATGAAAATTGTCAAAATAATCAACTTTCAACCCCCATAACTTTTTATGGGGGTGAAACCGCCACGAACTTTTTATGGTACAGTGGTGGGGGAGACCTCCTCTTNGGGTCATCTAGACCTTTACCAAAAATAAATAGATTCATGCTTAAAATACTTACCCAAAGTCGTAAATACTAAATATTATTAAAAAAGTAATGCTTGACTGCAATAATGTGTTTTAATAAAACATAAAATGCTTTACAACACCTATTCATGCAACTTTATTAATAATACATATGTAGAAATGATATCGTAACAAATGTCGCAAATTAATATAAACATTAATACTTTTAAATAACGAAGCCATTAACTCATTGTCAGTGAAACTCTACAAAAATATATGCAAAAATAGAAAAACTTGGAATGGTTTCACAGCTTTTCAGTAACACTCCTGAAGATGGTCTGATATGGTGAAATGTATATAAAGAGCAGCAAAATTATGCCAAGTGTTGTTACTTTTACATATAAAAATATCAACCACAAAAATTGCAAGCCTAGTTTACTGTATAATGCAACAAGTGTTTGATAAATACAGGTTGTCCCACAGCAAAATATCGAGAAAGTATCGATTCCTAAGTTACTTAAAATTATAAACATTGTGTAGGTACCTTTGTGAGGAAGTATTATTCCTAATAGAAGTAGCAGCTAGGAAATTTTCGGTGCACCCTGTATACAAACATTTGCAATAATCATTCAAATCTTATATCTGGTAATTTATGTGTACACGATATAATTTTAGATTAAGCTAATTTTTACTAATGCAGACAACAGTTTTTTCCCAGAGGTGTGCAAAACTAAACGTTTAATCATCCTAAACTCAGGAAATAAAGCAATTCTTCCTAGTTATTTAAAACACGCATAACAAATTTCTGAATTGAATAGTCTATGTAAAAAAGTTGTTATAAACTACACAAATAAACGAAAACTACTTATTGCGTTTTTCATAAACTTAAACAAGACAATTAATTTTAATCCTTCATATAACACTTAGACGTATGAGTGATTGTGTGCCCTATTCTAACTTGTGATACTTCGATAATAGTTAGATACTTGAAAAATTTTAACGACATTTGATTTGTAAAACAAATCTTTATGGATTGTTTTTATAACAAAACAATTACCATTTATAAGCGTTGGCTAGTACTAGTAATACTTTTAGTTAATTAATTGTAAAGTAATTTGTAGGTACCAAAGTATATACCTATGTATGTATAATCATACTTATATACCTATGGTTTACGCTATATCAAGTGACGAGACACAAATACAATTAGGCGTTTGACCTTTTACCGTCTGTGATCGTCGAACGCCTGGCATCGGCTCTGACGTCATTCTAGAGCATGCGCAGTGGCGTAAATATTCTATCAAAGCCTATTTTAATGTTTATCGATGTGTTTCTAAGTATACAAGTATGTTATATTTGTAATAAAAATTATTATTTTCCGTTAGGTTAATTGTATGAGTAAAATAGAAACCTTCAAGTCTCATTAAAAATGTTAGCAATTCAACTATCTTAAACTATTATATTACAAAACAATCAAACCGAGCTTCATTCATTATTTACATCTTCGTCATATCGTAATAATTTGCTGTCGTTTTTTGTGAAGAAATTATATATTTGTTAACATATTAAACTTAAGCACACTAAAAAAGAGGATTTTAAACCTGCTCGATCCTTTACCAATCATAACTAGAAGACGCAGTTGTCAAGGGCTGCTGTTTCTGTAAAGTACTAAAAGGTGACGGAGTATATCTACATTTGAAGGGCACTCCTTCCAATTTTTCCTAAAAGACAGAAATAGAAGAAAATGTAAGCGAAACAAGTCCTGAGATTTTTGCCTTATTGCTACTTACATTCGTGGTGGAATACTGTTGTATGCTGCCACCTCCAGGTTGAGCGAACGGATTCGATGGGGCACCGGGGACACCTAAAGTACCTCCATAGCCAGTCTGATATGTAGTCCCATACCCGTCTTGGGAAAGCTCGTTGAGTTTCGTACTCGACAAGGCTCGAGGTATGGGGTTACTAGGCACTCCATGTGGTGCAAGGTGCGACGTTTCTTCAGCTACTTGCCGAGGATCTTCAGTTTGAGGCAAGTCACTTATGAAGCCTTGATCGACGCGATAGAAGTTGATGAAAACGAAGCCTCCAAGCACAAACAAACAAAGAACTCCATATCCCCTGAATGTAATGGTGGAACCGAAGCTGTTGACGAATATTCCCCCGATGACTGCGCCACAACCTCTGCCTAAACCATGATGTAAGCCTTGGAGCACGCCTTGGGCGGAAGTACGCATATGCTGAGGTGTATTGTGAGCAATGTAAGAGCAACATGCAGCCCAAACTGCAGCATGGGTTATGCCCTATGAATATAAAAAAATGAAATTCCATCCATAGTTGTTCTAGTGGGCTAAGAATTTCAACTCACTTGCATGAACTCAAATGGTAAAACCCACCAAGGGTTAGTCAGCCAGGAGATGTAAAGAAATCTCAAAGTGTTTCCCACTAGTCCTAAACAAAGTACTTTAACATGTCCTATTTGCCTAATAAGTCTGAAGCTGAAAAAGTAGGCAAATATTTCCGAAACGTGATTGATCACCGAAGCAACGCCAAAAAGTGTTGGCGAACCACCAAAGTCTTGCAAATGCCAAAAGAGAAATGTAAATATCAAGCCGATTCCAAAACCCATCCACCAAGCAATGAACAGGAAGGAAGCACATTTGATATTTTTAAATTGCTGAAGAACGACGACCCATTCTGGTATTTCTCGAGTCGTTTGTGCAAAAATTTTGCTCTAAAAGCAAAGAAATTCAAGTGAATTGAGAGAATACTTGAGGGTTGAATTAATTAAACCATTTTAGACAAATATAAAACAAGATTAACTAAAGCAATCTCTATTCCTTAGATTATGTCTACTGAAAAAGTGTAACCAAGTCACTCCTCCATTTATTTCGACTGATTCGTGGATTCGTATTGAACCATACCTTGTTACATAATTTAGAAGATTTCGCCATCTATGTATCTTACCTTATCTTCAGGTGGAGGTTGTAAATCAATTCTCCCAGTATTTTCTGCCAGCGTAGGTAAATTTAGTTGTTCTGCCAATTGGGCTTGCATTTTATCCTCGTATGTCATTTGAGGTTCAGGTTTTTCTTTGGGTTCTTCGGGAATGTCTTCGTACTTGAAATTGATCTGAGTTGCACATATGAGAGCAGCTCCCATTAGAACAGAAAACGTAGCAAAACAGATGGTGTAGTTCTTCTCTTTCTTTTCCGGTTCACAGGGGTGATTAGGGAATGCTGTCGAATGATCCAGGGCTATACCAACAAAAAACATGGCAAGACCCCATCCCAACGATCCAAACATCCTTTGGTGACCATATCTATCAGCATCCTCGCCTTGAAAATGAAAAGAGAAGTTGCAGGGGCACATCGAAATCCTCCATAACATTTTTGAATTTTATTTTGGAATGAGTTTGTAGTTTACCTAGAAGGGTTATAACGGCCGAATCTGCCAATGTGATAGCAGGTGCACTAAAGAATTCCCCGATGATAACAAGCAACATCATAAGGAAGAACGTTTTCTGAATATCGTCGATGTGATAAACGATGGATGAAATAATCGGTTGAACAAGGCCAGCGTCTTTGTCTTTGTAATTAACAGCGTAAGATACTGATATGGGGGATTGTCCAGCTCTATCAAAAGGGGGTTCCGAACGAATATTTCGAGTAAATCTAAAAATAAATAAATAAATACATACATGCAAAGTTGCTGAAAACTTGAAAGTTTCTCATATAAGTTGATACAGATAAAACAGGATGAGGTGGTTATGAGTTAGTCTAAGGATGTATTTATAGAATAAGTTCATCAACTGAAGCAATTCATGGTAATAAAGACTGGCAGTTGCTAAGTTCATAAATCCAAAAAGGGTACTTACGCAGGGGCATCATAGACATCATCCCTTAAACTTATTAATGGCTCAAATTCCACAGACCTCTTTGAAATGAGTTTGGACACTTTCAAAGAACTTAGTCGAGGAGTGTTGTTTTTATATTCTATACAATTAGTAGCTGCAGGTACGATTGAACCCAACGGGACGGTGAACAAGATCCATGCAGAAAGAGATGCCAACAACAACAATTTACCTTTTCGCCACCTGTCAGCCAAAGTACCCCAAAATGGTGCAGATAGAAATTCAACGAATGGTCTGCAACCGACCAGAAAACCGCATTGGGTGGCATTCATTCCCATTTGTTTGAAATAGACACCCATAAGAGGAAAAAGCGAACCAAAAGCCGAATAAAAGAAAAAGTAAAATGTCTTAACGACTAGAAGTTCTTGGTCCACGGAACCGAAGATTGCTTCCAAAACGTCTGACTTGCCGCGGATTTTGTGGGTTGCGTCTTTAGGTTCAGGATATCTACAAAGAAGGCACATTACATAATTTAACGAGTTTGGTTGCTTTCTGTATTTGCTAAACATAAATGTAACTTCAATTTCAAAATTCCGCATACACAAGGGCATCAAATTAAAATTTTCCTTAGAAATAATCACATTAACACAACTTAATAATTCACCACACCTCCAAAGGACTTGTTGTTTATATTAGTAAGGAATTTAAGTGTAAGATAAATTTTTATCTCTTGAAAAAGATACTGTGTCACGAAACATCATTTTCAGGTCGATTCAACAACACCATCACGTAAATACATTGGTTTTTCCTCATTTTAGCAAATCGTGAAAATTTCATATCTACCTGAACAAAGTACTATTTCACAATTCATTATCTTATTCCTATTTTTGATTTCTCTAACGTATGTAGTACCTATTTCGTATTAATTAAACCGTTTCCTTCTGTATGTCGCCATCTTTGTGGTAAATACTACAACTTTGCAAAAATTTAGTTTTTACTGAACGCAAAACAATAATTGGTGGTTTATTATTTTATTATTAATTTCGTAATACATACATAATTATTAATAAATAGGTGTCCTAGTCCTAGGGATACAAAATTTTATTATTTTAGCAAGAGAACTTAATTACAAATATATTATATCGAATTTTACTTTAATTTATTCAGAAATTTAATTTACTTTACAATTATTATTAATTGTGTCGTATATTTCATACACATAGTAGGTATTATAACGAGAACCAAGAGCAGTTTTTACTGCGAACCGCTATTAACTTTAACGAAAGTTGAAACGACTTTCTAGCCTTTATTACTGAAGATAAATCCAAACCTTTAGCACAAGTATTTAAGTGCCTCGCTATATTTCATCCTTAAATATTTTCAAGGACTTACAGTTTATATACGTAACAAGAAATCGTCCTTACTCTCTTAATGACGGAAACTTAGTTTCTTATAACTCATAAATAGGAATGCTTTTATTTCCTGAACCTAGTGTGAAAATTTTATAACTTTAATTTAAATATTGTGCGTCCATCAGCCCAAAAGTGGGTCAACCTAGGTACTATGTACGGTCTGCTTTCAGAAATTACCCCAAAGTGGATATTTTTGGAACTTGATGTATTTTTAAGAATTCTAAAAATACTAAGTACAAATAGCAAATGATTTATATTTCAATATTTACTAGTTTGTTTACGTAATAAACCATTCAATATTTTTCGTTTATTTCAAGTACCAGGAAACCCAAATTTTTTCAAGATCTTTGAGTTAATTATACAAAAGCTTTAAATAAACTTTCGCGAAAGGTCAGGCTTATTTACTACATTTATTAAGTCATAGGTAATCAGATATACCTGGTCGGATCCACTTCTCCTTCAGCTTCGGGATCGACCATGGGCCTGAGCCCTGGTACAACGGGTTGAACTGGCACGTTTGTGTCACGGTAATCATAATCATCCATTTCTTTTTCTCAAATTATATCACAAACTACACCAGGTAATCGATGACCAACTTCCACCATGTAGTGTGCAACTTCACAGGACTTGATCAATAGCTAGTAGGTGGACCATGCGCCTTCGCACAACCGCCCCTGAGCAAAGATAATGCTATACCGAGTGAAGAGAAATAAAGGTAAATACTTAACTTTGGAAAGCATTTGTCAATTTTGTTATTGCTCCTTCCATTTTTCACTTATTTTTCATTCATCACTCTCACAAATTCACAACCCTCAATGCTCTCTCGAAATTACGAGTTGCAAGTCGAAATTTCGAGTTGGAAGTCGAAATTTCAAATAAAAAATCACTTTGTAAATGTATTTTTGTTTTCCTCGTTTCTTATTAACAAAAATATATACATAAAAAAGATACCAACTAGTATAAATATATTTTTATTTAGACTACGTTCCTTCTCCCTTTATAATGCATAAGTTGAATTGGAATGAGAAATATGGCCCCAAGCGTGACGACGCTTCCACCAAAATAAAAAGCAGCATCGTAATCGTCGTCCATGGCGCTGATGATGACCGCAACAGTAGGCATTGAAATTATGGCGGCAATTCCTTGAAACACCAGCGTGACGCCTAGGGCAGTAGTCAAGTTTTCGAGCTTAACAAGATCGACGATAACAACTGTTCTCATTGCTGATAAACATGCTGAAACGAACAATACCAACAATTTTGATAGCAAGTACGTGACAGTATATCACCATGAAAATTGATAATGATGTTCTTTATGAAAATCTTTAATTCTAATTTGTTTATAATAGCGGTAGTCAAAACTCAGAAAAGATTTCAAAAAATGTATCTGGTTGTTTCCACCCCTTCGACGATGATGTACTACAGGCTTTTTCCACATGAATGGAAATAAACTGCACATGGATTCACATTTTTAATAAATATTGGCTAGACAATTATTATTCCTTTGATTTCTGTGGTGAACCTTTCCCATTTTTAATTTTATCCTTAATATTTTTCAACTGTAATCTGATCCCCACCCAACTAAATCCTACTGGGCAGTCCCTAATCCAAATAGTTTTTCCATTAAAATATAGAAATTATTTTGATTTCCTCATAAGATTTTCTAACTGAACAGCTCAAACTACCTTTCCTAGCTTTGGAGAGATTCTCAAAAAGTAATCTCACAATGTTACCATACTAATATTCTGTCTTGCTTCACTCACCTATGGATGAACCATAAACGCAAGCAAATCCAATCTGCCATTCGTAAACGTGCCAAACCGAAGATACCAAAGTTGCAATTCCACCAGAAAATACCATCAAAAAAGAGACCAAAAGCGCATTAAAATGTGGAAGAGACGCCATAACCCCAATGACAATTCTACCTACAGCATTCGCCATGCCCATCACCGATAGAAGAAAATAAGCGTTTTTAGAATTAATTCCTTTCTGTTGGGCACGTTCCACAATGTACACAAATGGTACATAGACTCCCAATGTGGTAAAAAATCCACTTATGGCCAAGAAAAGGAACGACCTAGATTTCAAAATGCTCACGTCCAACATGGTAACCAGTGTCCTCTTAACCGGATATGGACAGCAAGAATACTTTTCGCGTACATCCCTTTGAGCAGCCACCCTTGTTACTGAAAGATGGTAGTCAATAACTCTCTGCAAAAAAAGTAAATAATCAATTATAAATTTGTTTCTTCAAAGTCTACTTTTAAGCGAAAGACCAGAAAAATTATATCCACGAAGCGGACTAAAATTTTGCCACTATTTTCTAAACAAGAAGTTCTTGTAATGAACCATAATCGCTATGCTTACAGTCGATTGTGAAGCTACACTGGAGGGTCCCCTCGTTGCGCTGGTATACTGCGGTAGTTTGTTAAGAGATGCCCCGTAAAATATATCATCTCGATACATCGGTCTTGCAATGGGTTCTTTTCTCCTTTTGTAGCAAATGCATCGGCTGCAATTGCACCTTTGGATGCACGGACAACAACCCGCTTTCTCGTCTTCTTCGGCCACCGGCTGAAGACAGTTAAAGGGACCTCGAGATGTCTTGGTCAATCTGCTGCAAAGACTTGAACGAGACACCACCGCATTCGAATTCAAAATCGATGTAGATCCACCTATAGTTTCCTGGGACAGTTCCTTCAAAACATTTGATTCCCGGTAAAAATCAGCAGCTGTCGGGTAAGCTTTATTGTGGTAGCTGGTCAACCTTCAAGTTTAAAGGACTTAATCGTTAAAAAATACAAATCTCCAAACTCACTCATTTATATGTGGGTACCTTGAGAATTTAGAAGTCAATGACATTCCTTCCCCTTCTTGTGCGGTTCCGCGTGATTCGATGGTGGGTAAGATATTGTCAGGAGGCTCTAGTTTGATCGACTTTAATGGTTTGTAGGTCAAAGCACACAATCCCACAACGATAAACATTCCTGCCAGACAACAAAATTGAAACCTCCACGTGAAACCGTCCAAGGCAATTTTGATAACAGCCGGAAAAGCTATGATACCAACGGAAGACCCTGTTGAGGCCAGTGAGGTTGCCAGAGCTCTCCATCTTTCGAAATAAAAACCAATTACGAGAACGGAGGGCACATAAACCATACCGAAAGCAATACCACAACAAAAACCATGCGTAACAAATACCGGCCAAAGGACCGTCCATTGTGAAGTGATAAAAATAGCTAAGGCTGCACCGAAACCACCTGCCATACCAACAAATCTGAACCCAATTGTATTTGTTAAAGCGCATACAAAAGGACCTTAAAAAAATTACAACAAATATATTGGAGAACTTATTATTGTTCTTGGAGATTCAACATTTATCATTATAGGAGTAATGAACCTTTCATGGACTACCATCGTTATTCAAATGCTACAGCCTTCTAAAAACACGGTAGAACTTGGTTATAACGTCACCTAGGACGTAATAAGCGAGTGTTGTTATTCGCAGGATGTACGAATTTGCGAAGGTAAATTGAACAATTTCGCACTCACTATGCTGCCCATATGGATTATAAATATGCAGACCTATGCAATAAATGTTTACAAAGGAAGGAAAGAATTGGCAGTTTTTCATTTTTATGACTGTCGACTGACGAGAAAACTGATACGTTTGATTCAAGGATTTGTACCAACAAAAATATGACGTTATATCCGAGTTCGTTGCCGGGATTCGCAACGTCGGTTTGAATAGTTTTGTGGCACTGTTAAAAATTGGCGTTATATCCAAGTTGTTGTTGTAACCAAGTTTTCACTGTATTTCTGCCTTTTATATTTCCAAAAATAAATTTACTAATACCTGAGAGGTAATAGAATCCTGATAATACTGAACTTATCACGGCTATCTTTGTTTTTGGAACATCAAAGGTTGAAGCGATATCGTCCAAAAAAATTCCAAAAGTATAGAGGCTTCCGTCGATAATCATATTGCATATAAATGCCGCGGCAACTATCACCCAACCCCATCCACCATCAGGGGGTATCACAATGACCGTTTCAAACGGAATCGTTTCATTTTTTGTGCGACTGGTTGTTCTAATATTAGACGACATAATTTTTCAAACAAACTGCAAATGGCCAAATACCTGAACTCGTAGCCCTTTCTGATTGACTTCCGGAATTAGTATTTATAACCTACGCCTTTCAAAACAACTAAAAAATATTGACATTTAATCAAATCATTTCTAATGACGGAAGCTGGAATCACAAATAAATAAACAGGGATACTTTTCACAAACTGGAGATAGAGTACAACTAAATACGCAAGACAAGACGTTATACTAAAAAAATTAATTATCGACAAGCCGATTGTTATTTGACATAAAGTTAAAATGACTTCGGGAAGAATTAGAAGCGCATTCGTGGTAATTGATGGCGAAGAAGAAGCGCTAGAAACAATAATAACTATACCGCCCGATGGTGGATGGGGATGGGTTGTAATGGTGTCATCATTCTTTTGCAACATGATAGCAGATGGACTGGTGTTCATGTTTGGCGTCTATTTGGATGATATAAGTAAAACGTTACGATCCGACCCAACTTCTGTAGCTAATATCAACTCCGCTATGACAGGAGTCTACTCCTTTGCCGGTAAGTACAAAAAATGCATGACCAAAACTGTAATGGGGAACCGTTAGGGATTTAAGGCGTTAATATTAGCCACAATTTATGGATGAGTGTTAATACACTAGTCCCTTGTCTTCTTAGTTGATGTCTCTATTTTCAAGAAATACATTTGTTCATTGACTACATTTGTTTCGCTAATACTTTAGCTTCTTCATGTGAAGATTTCGTTCTCTTTCCTCCAAAGATCTACATTTGAAGATGATGTCAGCCGCAGTAGCTGACAAAACGTCCGGACAGAATAGTTCACTTAGTTCGTCAGTCCTAAGACTGGTTGGACACGTACCTCCACTCTTTCCTATCCTGAGCTAATCTTCGGATTTCCCTAAAACTGGAACAACCCATATCTTTAACTATTTGCGAACAGTAATCTAATCTAGGTTTACCTCTACTCCTCCTAACTCCTGTTTCTGCCTCTGACTTGACCTTCGTGCCTGAGAAAGTGTTCTACTAACCTATCTCGTCTATTTTTTTATTGACTTCCATAGAGCCCTCTGTTCTCCTACTCTTTCTAATACCTTTTCATTTCTAACCTTTTCTACCCACGATATCCTCATAATCCGCCTATAACACCACATTTCGAAAGCTTCTAATCTTTTCTTTTTCGCCGCGTCCACTGTTCATGTTTCGCACCCGTACAATATCGTGCTCCAAACATGCACCTTTAACAACCTATTTCGAATTTCTAAATTAACCGTTCGCGAGCATAGAAGTGACTTCTTTTTATTAAACGTGACACGACCCTGCGCTATCTTCTGCTTTATATCCCTACTACTCCTTCCATTCTGACTTATCTGACTTCCTAGGTATCTAAAATCAGCCACTGCTTCTAATTTTTCGTCTCCTATCTTTATATTCGCTCTTTCCCTACTTTTTCTTCCCTTGCATACTAGTATTTTAGTTTTACTTTTATTTATATATTTTTATACAGTACTGATCTGTCAATACCGTTTCCATTTAATTTAAAGCTATCTCTAGGTCCTCCTTCCTAGATGCTAATACTGCTATATCATCTGCAAATCTAAGCGTACTAATCTTTTGCCCTTGCACATCTATCACTACAGTTGTAATAATTGTAAATAAATTTTTCAGGGCCATTTGCAAGTGCTCTAACCAACCGTTATGGTTTCCGAACTGCTGCTGTTGTAGGATCGCTGATAGGATGTGCGGGATATCTTCTCACTTCCCAAACCATAGAAATTTGGCAATGTTACTTAACGCATGGTGCGCTTACTGGTGTGGGCACCGGCCTGTTGTACGTTCCATCGATTGTTGTCGTGGGTTTCTACTTCGAGAAATGGAGAGCCCTGGCAACGTCAATAGCAGTTACAGGCTCTTCAGTTGGGATGATTGTATTTCCCGTAATAATTAACTTTATACTTACTGATTACAAATGGAGTATTCATTTCATGGTGTTTGGGGCACTTTTCGGCTTATGTCTGATTTTCGCCCTCGTTTATAAACCCCTGGAGCCGGTCAGAATTGAACCAACCGTTGAGAGAAGAGTCACATTTGACCTTAGCAATATGCCCTCCAGATACAACAACGCCTCGTTTCCAACGAATGCTGCAGTGTATAATAAAGAAAACATGACTTTTATTCCGTTAAAACAGGAATCATCTGAAACGATTTACAGCGGAACTATTTCAGATAGTTCCAGAGAATTTGCTTCTGGATTTTTTTCTAGACTTGCCTTTTCCAGTAGAGTACATCAAATGTCCCGTGAAAGGAACATAAGCAAGTGCGCTGCATGTTGCAGACTATGTTGTCGAAGGAAAGTTAGAATGAAGCCCGTTTCTAGACCATTCTACAGGGATGACGCTTTTTATACCGGTTCGTTGGCTATTCTTCCGGACTATAAGAAATCTCAATTGGCAACACAAAGGAATGTATATGAGGTAAAAAATGATAACATCTTCATAGTCATAGTCATCATAAGGTCGTCAGTCCTATAACTGGTTGGACACGCACCTCCACTCCTTCCTGTCTTCAGCTAATATTCGCATCGCCTTAAAACTAGAAAACTAACTTAACTTGTGGGTGTTTCATTCCCACCAGCCAGTAATGCTGGTGGGCGGGCAGTCCCTCCGGACTATGCCGGAAGGTAGGGTGGAAGGCCCTCTTGAGCTTTCAGGAATCGTGGGAATGGGTGGGTGGTGGTTCGGGTGAGAAAGTTGAGACGGACGAAATGAAGACAGAAGAGAATGAAAGATTATCTGTAGAATATTACTGACCTAGCATTTACGTAAGTGATTCAAGGAAACCACAGAAAAACTTGGACCAAGGCAGACGGACCCGGAATCGAACCGGCGTCCTCCCGAATGCTAAGCAATGGTCTAAACCTCCAGGTCATGCCGCTCGATTTAAAACTAGAACAACCCATATCCTTAACTATTTGCGAACAGTAATCTAATCTAGGTCTACCTGTACCCCTCCTAACTTCCATTGCTGCCTCTAATATGTCTCTGACTAGACCTTCATGCCTTAGAAGGTATCCTACCAACTTATCTCGCCTATTTCTTATTGACTTCCATAGAGTCCTCTGTTCACCTATTCTTTCTAATACCTTTTCATTTCTGAAGCTCTCTATCCACGGTATCCTCATTATTCGCTTGTAACACCACATTTGCACCCGTACACCGCCGCGCTCCAAACATGTACCTTTAACAATCGTTTTCGAATTTCTAAATTAACCGTTCGCTAGCATAAAAGGGACTTCCTTTTATTGCGCCATTTTCTTTTAAATAACTAGCTAAGCCCGTCCAAATTTGAGGCGGTTGGGATCAGTAAAGGTTACTAATTTTTACTTGTTTTACAAAAAAGTGTCTACAGGGGTTGTTAACGTACGTCTTCTAGGTTCATTTCTAAAGAATCTTAAGCATTCCTTGTCAGACACATTCAGCTGACAAGACGCGTACTGTAAATGCAACGTAGAGGTAATTCAGAATACTATGAGCGTTGTCCTTGAAATGCACAGTGACAAAACTTCTTCCTACAAGCTTTCTATCTCCTTAAAACAATGGCCGTCATTGTTTACAGTTGTACGGAGAGGAACATAGTTAACAGCCGACTCAATGTTTTAATTATGTAGGTACAATTTGAATGAGCATTTCTTCTGGCGCCTTACCCGTGTATGATCTTTAATTTGACAAGAATTAATTTGGTTGCCATAATAAAAAAAAATTATACCTAACTTCAGGGACACCACCAATGTGTGTTTAAAGTTAACTTTAGGGCTGTAAATGCGTCAGTAACCCTCTGGGAGCAGTCTAAGCGTACCTACGTACAAGAAAATACTTTAAATAGCACAATTGTTCAATTCACTTCGTCTTTAGTTCAAAGGCAATAAAAGTCATGAAGCTAAAAAGTTGTTGGAAAGATTTATATAAATTTGTAAATAGACATGCGGCAATTGTATGTCCGTTTCTGGAATTTCTGATGGAATTATGATTTTTATTTTAGAAATCTGCAATAGATTACCATATCTCAGTTACCAGAACTGCCACCGCGGCAGATCTTTACGCGAAACATCATGCATGTGCCTGTTGTCCAGACTCTTGCAGACGAGTGCTGGTAACAATGCTGGATTTGTCAATTTTAAAATCGATACCAGTACTGTTGGTGGTCTTCAGCGGACTTTTCACGACAGCAGGACAATATATACCTTTCACTTATATTGTCCCAAGATCAACTCAAGTCGGCATAAATGACATGGATGCAAAAATGCTCATTTCAATCATGGGCATTGCAAATTGTGTAGGAAGAATTTCGAGTGGAATATTATCGACAATTCCAGCGATTGATCCTTGCTGTCTAACAGCAGTAATGCTGCTGATCGCCGGTGCCGCTACGTTATCTTGTTCCGTTTCTAATACCTTCTGGTACCAGTCACTCACCTGTGCCATTTTTGGATTTTGTATTGGTAAGTTAATCGAAAAGTATTGACAATAAGTACTATTGATTATATGCTTGAACAGATAGATTGTCTTTGCCAGCCTTTCATGTCTGAGAAGGTGTCCCACCAACCTATCTCGCCCATTTCTTATTAATTTCTGTACCGCTCTCTGTACTCCAACTATCGTACTTCTGGTACCTATTCATTTCCAACCCATCCACCCAGGGTATCTTCAGCTTCCTCTTCTAATTCTATCGCTAAAAGAATCGAACAATCACTAATGGATTCCCTTATTCACTGTAGTCATTGTTCAGCAGTACTGAGTTAAATAATCTTGAAAAAGTATTTTTTTGTAGCTGGTCCGGTTTCATTGAGATCAGTGATAATAGTGGAATTAATAGGATTGTCAAGATTGACCAGTGCGTTTGGATTATGTTTGGTGTTCTTGGGAATTGGTTGTTTCGCCGGTGTACCTTTGGCAGGATTTTTTGTCGATATGACTGGCAGTTTCGATTATGGTTTCTATTTTGCTGGAGGGGTTATTGTTCTAAGTGGAATACTTTTAATACCAGTCAAACCGATCGCTAAGAAATATCCGCAAACTGTTGAGTTTCTAAAATAGCGAATTAAATCTGTTAATTGTGTAGTTGACTTACTAATAGACAATAATGTAATTTTATTATAGAGGTAATAATATCTCCCATTTAATTTTGAATAAATCTCTCACAGGAAAATCTTAATGTAGCAAATACGATAACTCTATGTCTTTAACATTGACAATTTCAAACAAAGAAGATAACATTGTACTTTCATTTATTTTCTATTTTTTATTTTTAATATCCATACACACTCCTATAGCACGAAGAACCAATATAAAAAAAGGAAAAACTGTTCAAGTATCTTCTGTTTATAAAAAGTGATAATAAATATGCACACTCGGTCACATGTAGTTCCACGAGAAGCGGTCACGAGTGGTCTATGTCGACATCGTCACCACGCGTAGTCGCTACTATTCTCTACTGAAAGGCACTGGTGGCTTATCAGTCAAAAAGACGAAACCAATGTGATAATTAAAATTGTAATGATGCAGAAAGCACTTAAGTATGGCAGCTAACGAAGCGTGTGGCTGCTTCCGGTAGCGACTACAAGTGGCTAATTGTATTAACGGCCTATAAGAAATACTGACACCGCTGGCCATGATGTAAAAAGCACTAAGGCAAGCTGCCAACGAAGTTTCTGGCTGCTTCCGGTAGCGATTACAAGTGGCTAATTGTACTAGCGGCCTATAAGAAATATTGACGCCGCTAGTAATGATGCAGAAAGCACTGAAGCATGGCTCCTAACGAAACGTGTGGGTGCTTCGGGGAGCGACTACAAGTAGTCAATTGAACTGACGGCCTATAAGAAGCACTGACGCCGTTGACCACGATGTGAAAAGCACTAAGGCATGCTGCCAACGAAGCTTGTGGCTGCTTCATGTAGCGACTACAAGTGGCCAATTGTACTAGCGGCCTATAAGAAATACTGACACCTCTGGCCATGATGCAGAAAACACTAAAACATGGCGAAACGTCTACAATTACGCAAAGAACACACAAAAATTCAGCCTGTTGTATGGAATACCACTACTTACCCCTCGGATATTGAAGAGCCAGTGATTGTTTCTGTATATAATAACAAAAAGCAAATACATAACAACTTAAATAATAATTAAAAAACACAAATATAACAGCGTTTATTCAGATAACATTATCATTGTTATTATATATAAAAATGTTATAGCTGGATACAAAAATAGTACCTATATACATATGTATTTATAGCATAAGACCCATTTAAAGGTCCATCATGGAAAGCGTATTATACAAAAATATTAAATTATTGAGCAACTAACAACTTACTTATTTACAAAGGAAATTATTATTATTATTATCATAATTATTGACAAGAATTAATTTGGTTGCCATAATAAAAAAAAATTATACCTAACTTCAGGGACACCACCAATGTGTGTTTAAAGTTAACTTTAGGGCTGTAAATGCGTCAGTAACCCTCTGGGAGCAGTCTAAGCGTACCTACGTACAAGAAAATACTTTAAATAGCACAATTGTTCAATTCACTTCGTCTTTAGTTCAAAGGCAATAAAAGTCATGAAGCTAAAAAGTTGTTGGAAAGATTTATATAAATTTGTAAATAGACATGCGGCAATTGTATGCCCGTTTCTGGAATTTCTGATGGAATTATGATTTTTATTTTAGAAATCTGCAATAGATTACCATATCTCAGTTACCAGAACTGCCACCGCGGCAGATCTTTACGCGAAACATCATGCATGTGCCTGTTGTCCAGACTCTTGCAGACGAGTGCTGGTAACAATGCTGGATTTGTCAATTTTAAAATCGATACCAGTACTGTTGGTGGTCTTCAGCGGACTTTTCACGACAGCAGGACAATATATACCTTTCACTTATATTGTCCCAAGATCAACTCAAGTCGGCATAAAT